TCTTTTTGTTACACTATTTAGTATTCCCCAAGTTGCTCTGATATTATTTTTATTTTTGTCTAATAAATTGCTATTATAATCCTTTTTTGTTTTGTTTTCTTATTATTTTAACTAATGTATTCTTGTATTTTTTGTACCTATTTTCTGCTTCACTTGTTCTTTGCTTTAAAAAGCATTTATATAAGGTTTTTTTTTCTTACAGGCATTCTGCAGCCCTTTTATCATCCATCATCCCTTGTCTTTTTGTTTGAATTTTGGGGTCATATCAGATATTTTTTGTTGCAAAATCATGATCGCAATTTCTTTCCATTTCGACAATTCAAATGTTTAGGAAGCTATTTATCAGTTAAATACATCAATTTAAAATACCTTCCTACTTTCCAATATCTATCCCTATCACTCCATCCATTTGAAGAGCTAGAAATGCATGTCTCAGATGCACTTTTATTTATTTTATATTTAATGTAAAATAATTCAAATTCTATCTAGAGGTGGCTCATTTCCTACCATTTACAATATTACCAATAAGGTTTGGCCTTTTTCTCAACAAAGACAGGATAAAGAGAACTCCGGTCGGCAGTCAGGGGGAAAGGGCTTGCTAAAACACAAACAAACGTCTCCAAATAATAAAAGCCACAAAGCCAGATGCAAAGTTTAGAGCAGAACATTGACCCAGAGGATTTCTGATTGTGCAGATGCGTGAGAATACGTGTAATTACCACAGACATACATACGTAGACGCCCCATGGACAGGCGCTGCCTATGAGAGATGCCATAATGGCGAGCCGTCATTATGTCATCAATAGTAATCCCATGTGATCTGTTTTCAACAGTACGCCGGTTGTTGCAACCTGCTGACTGCACAATAACAGGCAATAGTTATTCACTCAGCAATGACTTTGGACAGTGAGGAGACCCATCCAAAATGTTGGACACTCAGTTACACTCTACAGCTCCCAACAAGTCTAAATACAAACAGATAAGTTAGATCTTCTGGTTTTTGCTAACAGCAGCTAATAAACCACAGCAGCAATATCACTGACCCCAAAGCTACAAGTGTCTTTCATTGTCTAGCATCATCAAGGTTCTCTAATTTGTGGCAAAGGTCACATTTACCCAGCTGGGTCAAGCTGGGTCAAACAGTACTTTTAAATCCACAGATTAACCAAGGAGCCATGATGTCTGGAAGAACATATCACCTATCTGCTGCTGTTCCGTCCCAGGAGGAGGACACTTCAAGTTCATGATGATAATAATTAGATAATAATATTAATAAAACTCATTGATTTTATTACTGTTTATTATAATCATCATAAATGATCACTTGGTTCAATATCAAGGTATTTTAATTACATGAAATGAATTACTATGCTTTGGGGATAATAATGACTAATTATGATTATGGTTGATGACAGTAAAAGATGTGTTCAGCAAAGAAGGTCAGTTTCACCTTATCCATCTAACACAGAGTCCAGATAAACAATAACTGCAACACATGTTTTTGACGCATGACCAAGCTTTCTTGCTGAGAGAGTGAGAGTGTCCTGAGAGCTTTGTAAAACTAACCATCACAGCTTCATGTTCAGTTCTTGAACCAACATCACTGAGGAAGGGAACTGCCGTCCCTAACCTCTCGTGCTGTTCTGTCACTCCGACAAGAATAGCTAAGAATAAACTTAACTGTAACCAGCTGACGAAAACTCTACCCAGAGTTATTGATTTCTGAGTCAAGTTAATATGCAAAAACTCCTTCAGAGTTACGGACTTTGAGAAGCAAATAGTTCCACCAGTCGAGTGGCCCAAGGAGACATCTCAGGACCGATTTGGTCGTGCTAGAGGTTTTTCTACCAACCTCGTGCCGTGAGGAAACCCATCTCCACCTGGACACTTCAGATCCTAAAGGGGGTCTTCTGATTGGGTGAGGTAGACTTCGACAGAATGTACTTGATGCTGTTTTCTCTAAGTAAAAACTCAAGTTAGCTGCAAAACATCATTTCCATTCAGAACGCTTCCTCTCTCTCTGAAAGAAATCTTCTGATAATTCCATTCATGCATCCAAACTCGTATTTCCAAATTAGCTTCCATCCAGCCACAGGTTTGCCTTTTAAAACAAGTTTAATATCAAAGCTGTTAAACATTGTCATTAAACTGTCATCCATGAATTGTCGTTTATAATTGTCGTTTCAAATCTTTAAGTTTAAAATTGTTAGTAATAAAATTTATTCATTTTTAAACTTGCCTCATTATTGAAACGAACCACAGAAAAGGTATAATATATCTGGTTATTGAAAAGCAAATATTCCTAGCTTCTGATTCAAAATAAACTTTTGCTATACAATTTAACTATTTAAATTAAACATTAATCTTTGGATTAAAATTAGACCAAACAGGTTGGTGTATGAATTTAGATTGATATACAAGTATCCGGGATATTTATACGTGATCTAAGCCTCATAGGTTAATCTGATTGGTCATTTTCAGTATCTCCAACTGAATGTGTAGTAAACTCTACAATTGTGATGAACCAAGCTTGAAGAACTTACATCACCAAAAAAGTAATGAAAGGGGAGCTAAACGGCTTATCAACAGGTTGTGTTTCATCTTTATGCGTGTCCACACAACAGAGCCCTGGTGCACCTGAGACTGTCCAATCTTCCCGTGGAATAACCTGACCGGTTTTGTTTTGGGGGACATATTTTATCACATTTAGATCCAAAAAAATTAGAACTTTGTCTTTTTGGGTTGTCCATTTTTAAAACACTCAATGACAAATTTTAAGTATAAATTAGGAATTAGCTCATATTTCCACTGATGTTTATTACTCTGTTTTTAGCCAAAAACAGAAGAGGTGATGAGCTAATGGAACATTTACTAGAATAAAATAAGTAAACTTTTATAATCAAACTATTTTCCGGTGAGCTAATATTCACATTATTTATAAAAGCTAAAGTGACAGCCGCTGATCTATAGTTATTTTTGCATACACGTACCAGATGTTATTTATTCTTCTTCCTGTCTTACCTAAGGCCTCCAACATCTTTCTTGGAACTATACAACCTTTTTATTTCTCTGATTCTCACAGCATGAGGCTAACAGACCAACTCCCTTCCTCTCTAAACACTTCTAGCATTTTTGTTTCTCTCCAAAGAAGAATGAACTCTTTCTCCACAACTCTTAAACCTCTGCTGCTGCCTCACCAGAAGCTTATTTTTCCAAAATACTTGAATAAAATCTGTCATTTAAGTTCTGAAGTACTGCCAGATAAACAAAACCCAACTTATAAAAAAAAAAAGTCTGAAGATTTGCCAGAAGTGAATATGTTTTGATTCAAAATAAGATGCTGACTCAAGGATAAAGTTTAAGTCCTCTATGCTCTGGGGTTGTTGCAGTAAACTCATTTGTTTTTGAACAGGTCTTGGAGCATCAATCTAAAGCGGTTGTCAAATGTCTGTTTTGACTATTGTGAAAACTTTAAAGTGAACCTTGGTTACCATCTTGTGAACTAGATGGTTATGGCTGTCCTCCATGTTCACTATTATATGTGATATTCCACTTTGTCCAGTCAACTTCAAATCTGTCCCGAAAAGAACTAGGCTTCTATGACAGCTTGTTCATCTCTTAGCAACTACTGGCTCTGATGCCTCTGGCCCAACAGATGACTGCAGATGAGAATGCTTTCTTCACAACAGACTCATAGATATATAGAGGATCCTGCTGTAAACACTGAAGGATCTCAGCTTCTTCTGCTCTGTCCCTTCTTGTTAACAGCTTCACTGTTGTGTCTCCAGTCAGTTGTCCAGGTGAACACAGAAGGCTTTATATTCCTCCACCAAATCCAGTCCTTCCATGATGGAAACTTCTGACATATTCTTTCTTCTTCTAAAATTCACAGGCATCTCCTTTTAGTTCACATTCAGAATGAGATGATTGTTCCCAAACTATTCCACTAAGTTCTTTGTCCTTGGTCTCCTGCCTGTGTGATTGCAATTCAGATCATCAAACTAAGACCATGTTTTTTACAATATCTTGTGAATGACATATGAGTTGTTATGACTAGGAGTGTGTTAGAAAATGACTCCACTACTATCTCACAATATGGGCATGCGATGCACTTTAACCCATTCACTGCCAGCCGTTTCCTGATCACTAACGGCCTTCGCTGCCAGCGTTTCTCACCGTTTTTACTGTTTTTTTAAGAGTCACAGAACGTTGCGCGCTAGCATGATGTCGATGCCAAAACAACCAAAAAGCGGAGACTCACCTCTTACATCAGGAAGAAGCCGCGTGTTTCGAGAGTTATCCGTTCTTTCCTAATCCGTTGTCGAATTGTGATCGGCAGACGCTTTTCCGGTTCACGCCTCACTTTTTTTTACAGGAACGGCCCAAAACGATCTCCAAACACATGGATGTGTTGCTCCCTGATCATGTGATCTGTGACGTATGCGGATGAAGATCGGCTTCAAGGCTGAGATGTTTGTTCTCTCAGCGCGGGGGCTCGTTCCGATGCTCAAACAGTAAAAAAATGCAAATGACGACTTTAGTCGTCATTGGCAGTGAACGGTTGGATCTAAAATGACGACTTTAGTCGTCAATGGCAGTGAATGAGTTAATGTATCTATGTATGTGCAAAAATCATTTTGCTTTTTGAATTATTATTACTATTAATTTTTTCGTTCTTCTTTAAAAATTGAACTCAAGTTAGCTAACCAGTCACGCAATTACTTTGTATAGGCCAATTTACAATTATTGTTATTTCATTGTAAAAATGTCATTTTAGTTCAAAAGGGGCAGATAACATAAGTTTCCTTCTTTTTGTTCCCTTTTCATTTTCTTGGTTTGAGAAACCTCATTTTATTTCTTAGTATTGTTTTTTTTCTATTTTAATTATAAATGAAATAAAAAAAATAGTTTAATTCTTCTTGGACAGAGAGGGGAAAAAAGACTCCCCTTTTTTCATAACATTTAAATGAATTCCACCTTATCTGCCTTTTGTGTTTTAGGTTTGAGAAGGGGAGGATCTACTCCTACATTGGAGAAGTGGTGGTGTCCGTTAACCCTTACCGTGCCATGAACATTTATGGTCGGGACACTATAGAACAGTACAAGGGCCGTGAGCTGTACGAGAGACCCCCCCACCTCTTTGCCATCGCTGACGCCGCATACAAAGCCATGAAGAGGAGGAACAAAGACACTTGTATTGTCATCTCAGGTAACACAGGAAACCCCTGTGGATCGGATAGGAAAACTTTGACAAGAGCACAAAAATGCTTTGTGTACTAGACATGTTCAAAGGAATGGTGTAAAGAATTTATATCTTATCATTTCCTACTTTGAAACTTATTTTTAAGAAATATGTTTTTCTTAAATCAAAAGTTCCATATGATGTTAGGCTGTGCTGTGAGGCAGCATAGAGGAAAGAGAACGAAGCACCTCTCGGTGGTCGGAACAGGAATTGAGACCATCCAAATCCTGGCGTCATGTTACTTCAAACAAATAATGGCTCTAAAACATTTAAGCACCTTTCATTGTGTGTGTGTGATTCATTTGAACATTTTGTTTCTGACAGAATAAAAATCATTAAATTCACTATGAAGCACTATAAAGCTCTAATTCAGGCTTTTCATATGGGTCTTGGTCTGCGGCATCGTTGACCATAAAAGGACAGATTTGTGTTTAATATGTTCACTGTAAAAGTTGAAAACTGTTTTCAGTGGTAATTTTGTCCACTTATGGTCTGGCAGCTTAATTTGCAGGTGTCAGAAAGATTTATGCTCATTTCATTGCAGGAGAAAGTGGTGCAGGAAAGACCGAGGCCAGCAAGTACATAATGCAGTATATTGCTGCTATTACCAATCCTAATCAGAGGGCTGAAGTCGAAAGGTGAGCTGCTGTTATTAAACTGGGTTTGGTGGCTAAAGAGCAAATATTTTCTGAGAGGGAGGGGATTTTGGTTTTTGTTGGATCATGAAACTGCTTTGAGTTTCATCCTGAATTCTTTATTTTTTCATGTAAATGTTGGGATTCACAATTCAGGTGATTAGCTTTTTACCAGGTGTTAATAAATCTGGTATCAGGTAGTGCTTTTTGTTGAATCCATTTTATAGGTAGTTATTAGTGTATATAACAGGAAATATCAGCGTCTAATGCTCACACAACATGAAGAGCTTAAGTTTCACCTTAGAAAGGCGTCTCATGTACCTGAGCAGCTGTGCTTAATGATCAACACATTATTGCACCATGTTACAGAAGAACTGATTGTAGCTTTCCATGAAGGATTAAAAGGAAATAAACTTTATTCAAAGTTAACAAACTGCAGGTCAGATAAAGATCAAAGTGATCACTGATACAAAGTGCTGATAATACACATAAACACAGTAAATCATAAGCACATATTTTTACATCCAAACACCATTAAGGACATGTTATTATAGAGGATACCTTTATAAATATGTAGGTCCTCAGATAAGTTTTCTGTTTTTATGAAAAAAGTTTGAATTTTCTATCTTTCCAGTCTCCTTTTTCGTTAAAATATGATTTTTTGAGATTAGATGTAGGAGCGGTGTCAGGCAACACCTTTAAAACTTGTTCTGTATTTTCTTTTGGCAGTTTTATTATTTTTACACACCAGATTGAGAATGCAGTGAATTTAAACTGTAGCAGAATGTTGCATGAAAAACAAACCCTCTTCTGTACACAATATTAGCTTTTAATGGAGTTTATTCACTTAACTTGAAAACCCGACATGTGATTGACATCTGTTGTGCTGATTTAAACTTAAATTTTATTGTTAAAGTGAATTGTTAATGAGCTTTTCACCCAATAAATAGAATTCAGGCTCAAGTGTTTCTTGTTGTTTATTCGTGAGGAGAAATACGCCCTAAACAAGAGATTCAGATGCACACTTTCTCTATACCCCCCTGTTTCCCCACAGAGTAAAAAACATGCTGCTAAAATCCAACTGTGTGTTGGAAGCCTTCGGAAATGCCAAAACCAACCGCAACGACAACTCCAGCCGCTTCGGCAAATACATGGACATCAACTTTGACTTTAAAGGAGATCCCATTGGGGGCCACATCAACAACTATCTGCTGGAGAAGGTATCAGGCTGGTTTGGGAAAAAATAAGGGAATAAAGGCGTACTTTATGTAATAAGATACACGTTTACGTACATATTTAGGAACCTCCCGAATTTGTATTTGGTGAAATTTAAAAGAAGAAAACAATTCTAGTTATTAAGTAGTTGACTCATAAACTTAAAGAGCAAGTCACCCCCTACAAGAAGCGTACTTCACTCCCATTTCATGTTTGAAAACTGCAACAAATTTTATTTATTTATTTATTTAGGAAGTGGGTCAATACATATTAATGAACATTTCAATAAATGTAAATATGCCAGATTATAGCCTTGGGCTAATTTCCATCTGCAGACCCTCCGGCAGGTTGATGTTAAACACAAAGTAGTGTAAACATACAGAGATAGTATTTACAAGTCATGTGACAGAGACAAAAACTGTCATCCCATTATACAAACACAAACAAATGTCAAGGAAAGTGGACACAGAGAACAACATAGACAGCAATAACGGAAACACATCAATTGTATTGCACAAACCCCGATACTGCATATGCCCTGACTGTCGTGAGATTACATTCACCCATTAAACTAGCAGTTGTTTCCCTTTTAATACTGTACCAACTCTTTTCCCGGACAAATATGAAATATAAATATTAGACATGATCACATGTTTGTGTGTCCCTCAGCCGCTGTTTTAAGCGACTCTTAAAGATGTTTAGACTGGTACTTTCCCTTACAGATAGTGGAAGACTATTCCAGAATGTCACTCCCTGGTATGACAGAGCAGTCTGTGAAAAGGTAGTCCGCTTGAATGTCAGTTCACAGTCACCTCTAGCAGTGGCTCGAGTCAGTCGAGACCCGACAACACTGCTAGACTTTTGTTTAATAAAATCACTCATTGGTGGTGGCGCCAGACCATGTATAACTTTATATATTAAACAGGCCGATTTAAATAATTTAAAATTAGTAAAATTTAAAAACTTGTATTTATCTAAAATTTGACAGTGGTGATATGAGAGAGGTTTTTTATCTAATATTTTCAATGCTCTTTTGTAGCATACTTCAATTGGCCCAATAGCAGCCGAGCTCGTATAGGACCAACTGGTAATACAATATTCAATATGAGCCAGTATCATAGAATGCAGGAATGTAATCGCTGCTGTGTCTGTTAATGACGTACGGATATATCTAAAGTTCCGTATATTAACATTAACAGTTTTCACTACTTTACTAATATGTTTTTTAAAAGTTAATTTAGAGTCTAATCGCACTCCCAAATACTTAAACTCCTCAACATTAATTAATTCATGTGCACCCAAGCAAACTTTTCCTGCAGCTACGGTTGTCTTAGGTTTACTGAAAAACATTGATACGGTCTTGTTAAAATTAAGGCACAGGCATGAGTCATTCAGCCATTTTTGTAAATCACGTAATGCCAGTGAAAGCTGATGGGCTGCATCATCCGGAGTTTCGGCTTGCGTAAAAATTACTGTATCATCAGCATACATAATTGTGTCCACATTTGTACATACATTAGGCAAGTCATTTACATAAAGTGAAAATAACAGGGGACCCAAAATTGAACCCTGGGGAACACCTTGCATGCAGTTAAGATAGGGTGACTTGCTATTCTTTATTTGCACACATTGTTTTCTATCTGATAAATAAGACTGTATCCATTTAACAGTATGATTACTAAAGTTAAATGTCGACAGTCTAGACCAGAGTGTATGATGATTGACAGTGTCAAATGCACGTTTGAAATCGAGAAAAACTGCCGCAACACAACGACTCTTGTCTAAATAAGATTTCACTCTCTCAACAAAAACACAGACAGCCGTTTCAGTTGAATGAAGAGTGCGAAATCCAAATTGCATAGGATGCAAACCCGGATCGGAATCATTAAGATGTTCAATGATAGATTTAGCAACCCACTTTTCTGCTACCTTTGAAAAGATGGGCAGTATACTAATAGGTCGATAATTAATAGGGTCTATTTTATCACCCGATTTATAAATTGGTGTTACTTTCGCCACCTTCCAACTCAAAGGAACGACTGCCTGCGAGATTGATAAATTAATAAGATGGGTCACAGGCACCAAAAGACTAGATTTATAATGCTTTAAGAAATTTGTGTCAAATCCAAAGTCATCCTTTGCTTTAGAACTTCTTAATTTAGATATTATATTTTCTGCTTCACTTTCCGTAATTTTCTGAATATTGAACTTTGAGTCTGGTAAAGAATCTTCCTCTTCGGTGCCGATATTCCCAGTATTTTGTCGATGGTCATCAGAATTAGAAAACAACTGTGCAATTTCATTAATGGTACTTTGGAAGAAATCATTTAATTTAGTAGCTAGGCTAAGTGGTTCTGACACTAGTTCACTGGCAAATTTAAGTTCAAGGTCCTTCTCTGCATTATGCTTACTGTTACCAAGAAGTTTGTTAATATTTTCCCAGATTAGCTTACAGTTTCCTTTGGCATTATTAATTACAGTCATGAAAAAATTTGCTTTTGCCATTCTCAAGGTTTGTGTGACTTTATTCCTTGCAGATATAAAATGTAATCGATCAGTATGTAATCCAGATTGTAACGATTTTTTGAGTAACCGATCTCTAAGTCTCATAAGCTGTTTACACTCAGTATTAATCCAAGGCAATGAATAAACTCGTTTCTTTAAAAGGCACTCTTTCTGAAACTGTGACAAGACCCCTTTAATAGCAGAGTATACTAGATCACAACATTTATTAGTGTCATCATATGTTAGTATGCTATTCCAGTCCAAATTATTTAGAGCAGCTGTTAAATGTGGCTCTTGATTTTTGGGAATGAATGCTTGTTTTATATTCGTCCTTTTACTGGAACATCTCAGTCGTTTTTTAGTTAGCTTTCTAGAGAAGAATATGGCATTGTGGTCCGACAAGCCAGTCAAAAAGTTATATGTTTTTATCATTCTATCCGGTTTATTAGAGAACACCAGGTCTATTAGAGTTCTAGAGCGATTTGTTATTCTAGTGGAATCATTGATCATTTGTTGTAAACCAAAATTATCTGTGATTTCTTTTAATTTCTTTCTGTCGCTTATGTCATCCCAGTTTACATTTAAGTCTCCCATTAGGATAAGTTCATTACTGATGTCACAAGAATTTAGAAGTGCCTTGAATTGGTCATAAAAATCCACTTTCGCTGAAGGTGGGCGATAAAGACATAAAACAGTAAATGACATTTCTGCTGAGAGTGACACTTTAACTCCAACACATTCAATAGAGATTTCATTAGGCCAGATTATTTGTGTACATTTTAGAGAGTCCTTCATATACAACAACACCCCACCCCCCTTTCCTTGATGCCTATCTTTTCTAAAGACATGATAACCTTGTATAGTTAACAGTGCTTGTGGAGAAGAGGGTGTGAGCCAAGTTTCCGAAAGTCCCATAAAATCAACATTTGAATTAACGAGAAGATGTTCCAGTTGTTCCCTCTTAGGGGCCATGCTGCGTATGTTCAGATGGCCACCTAGCAGCCCTTTGACCTTATACTGTGGATCCCAAATAGTCCTAGCTTGATTAAGAGTCCGAAATAACTTAAACAATCGATGCTTTTTAAACACAGGGTTCCTCTGTATAACCATAGGTAAGATAGGTTGTGTTGACTTACTAAGTTTAGTTGTAATCGGGCTCCGCAGAGTTGGTATTAGACTAGGAGGCTGCTGTAGACCTGGAAGCAGGGATGGTGTTAGTCCAGGAGACTGCTGTAACCCAGGTACCAGTGGTGGTGTTAGTCCAGAAGGCTGTTGTAGCCCAATTGGCAATGGTGGTATCGGTCCAAGAGGCGGCTGTAGCCCAGGTGGCAGCGATGGTGTTGGTCCAGTAGACTGCTGTAGCCCCGGTAGCAGTGATGGTAGCCCAGGGAGCTGCTGTAGCCCTATTGGTAACGATGATGTTAATCCGGGAGGCTGCTGTGGCCCAGGTGGCTGCGACGATGTTAGTCCTGGAAGCTGCTGTAGCCCAAGCGGCATTAACGATGTAAAACCCGGATGCTGTTGCAGCCCAGTTAACAATGATAGTATTGGAGCCTGAAGCTGCCGTAACCCAGGTTGTAGTAATGGTGTTAGCCATGGTAGCAGTGTTGGTGCTAGCCCAGGGAACTGCTGTAGCCCAGGTAGCAGGAATGTTGCTAGCTCATGAAGCTGCTGTAGCCCAGGTAGCAGTGATGGTATTAGCCCAGGGAGCTGCTGCAACCCAGTTAGCAGTGACTGCGTCAGCCCAGGACTCTGCTGCAATCCAGGTAGTAGCGATGGTGTTATGCCAGGAAGCTGCTGCAGCCCAGATAGCAGTGGTGGTGTTAGCCCAGGGAGCTGTTGTAACCCAGGTAGCAGTGATGGTGTTAGCCCAGGGAGCTGCTGTAGCTCAGATAGCAGTGATTGGGTTAACCCAGGCAGCTGCTGTAACTGTAGCACAGGACTTGAGACAGGTCCGGGGTTACGCTCAACATCGCCAGCCAGAAGTATTATCAACAGGAGATTCACAACCCCCATGTATGATCTGGATACCGTTTTAGCACATTGACCTGGGGGCGGCCTAGCATGTCCACAATCCAGGATTCCTGAATACAAAAGATGTTGGCTCCTCTTGGCTGGGTAGAGAGTTAAATTAACCATTTTCCGTGGATACATTAAGCTGAAAAAAAGGTAACAAGACAAGAAGAGACCAAGAAAACATGGCAAAATATATAAGATATTTCTTTTTTTCGGCAAACACACAGGACCTGCCTGACTCTGTGGCTTCACCCTGTCGGCCATGTTGCCATCAGACTGAGAGGGTGGAGCCACTAACAAATACACACACTCACGACATTGTGACATCATAATGTACCAGTTTACATCATAGCATACCTCTTAGCCAATAGCGGTGGCAGATTTAAATTCAAATGCAGTGAAGAGTTTTTACCTGACAACGGCACAACACTGACAGTTTCAGGCAGAAAATTAAATTTGAACTAAAATGCACTAAAGTGCAAAACTATTGACTACACGTGTCTGCAGCACGATTAGACACACATTTATATAGTTTATCAGAAAAAATAGTTGATTTGGGGGTGACCTGCTCTTTAAGCAAAATATTACTTATGTAAAAATTAAATGAAATACAAATGTTGACATTTAACAAGGGGGACTGCAGGGTTTGTTCCAACTACAGGGGGATCACACTCCTGAGACTCCCTGGTGAGGTTTTCTAGTCACGTCCAACCGGGAGCAGGCCTAAAGGGAGAACCAGGACACATTGGAGGGACTGCCGCTGTGTCTCAATTCAGGGTCTGCATCCTTCGAAGGACCCAGCCTACTCGGCCGACGTGGGCTGCGTCCTCCGTCGGCCTAGTAGACCGGATGTTAACGGCTGTGAATTTGGACAGGCCTAGCCTTCATGAATTCCCGCCACTCCCTCGCGAACGTTGCGTCGCCTAGCAACCGTGGAACCGTTGAGCCAAACGGAGAAGGAACTTTAAACGATGGAGCTCGAAGTTTTATTTAGCTTTTTAATAATTTCCTTGACTGTTGGAGAGCTAATTCAGAGAAAATACTTTCGACTAGCTGAGCCTGAGCAAAGATGTGATAATAGTTTTTAATACTTTCTAAGGGTCTCAATTTGACCAAAACCGATTTATCACCTTTTAAGATTTTTCAAGACCCAGCGGATACCCTGTAATATTAAACAATTCACATTTGTAAACAAAAATAAAATTCAAGAGTTTAATACAGAACTGATTTTATTTAGATATTCCTTTTATATGTACATGTTTAATCTTTCTTAACCATTTTTTTCTAGCAAAGTAAAAAGCCTGCCAAAATTCTCCCTTCTCTCCTGTGCCCTCTGCTGCTCTGCCTCCCTCTGCAGCCTCAAGTCCTCCCTGATCAGCTCCAGAAGCTGGTCATCGCTGTCACCTTCCCCAGGATGCCCATTTTCTCCAGAATAGTCTTAACAAACATGTAGGAAAAAAACAGGAAGAGAAAAGAGGACAACGGGTTATTCCTTTCATGTTTTTGCAGAAAAAACTACACTACAGTTTTTAAAATATGAGATGTTATTGTACCTCCACAGCCGCCGAATACTTTGCTCCAGTGAACATGTGGTCCATCTCTGCCCTAAGCTTAATAAAGTCCGTGGTTTTCTCTTTTGTCCCTAAAATACAAACTCCTATTAAAATCAGGGGGAAAATGTAGCGGGAAAAGTACGACACCGAGCGGCCGAACATACGAGCCGAGATCGCAGTACAAGCACTTTTACTGTAACATTTCAAACAAAAATAACGTTCATGTATCACAAAAAGCCCTTAACCTAACAGTTTTCTAGTTTATACTGACATTTATATGCGCAGTCCTCTCCAACAGCTCCCGCTTCACTGTCCGCCATTGTTTTTAAAAGTTCTGCCATCCGGCCCGCAAGGCATCTTAGGAAATGTAAACCACTGAAGAATACACCGGACCCATCCTTCATTCAGGCGAAAAGAAGGCCGGATTCGTCGACCGCATTTGAAGGAGTCTTCGAATTGGGACAGGCCTGGTCGCGGCGCTGTGACGTAACCGGCCGACGAAGGATATAGTCTGCGGTCCGACAGAGGACCCAGCCCACGTCGGCCAAGTAGGCTGGGTCCTTCGAAGGATGCAGACCCTGAATTGAGACACAGCGTATGTCTCTCACCTGGCCAGGGAACGCCTTGGGATTCCCCGAAAGAACTGGCCCAAGTGGCTGGGGAGAGGGAAGTCTGGGCCTCTCGACTTAGGCTCCTGCCCCCGCGTCCCGACTCTTGATAAGCGGAAGAAAATGGATGGACAGATGGACAAATGTTGACAAATTTCCTAAAAAAAGGAAAGAAAAAGGAAATGCTTTAAACGAAAAGTCAAGTGTCTCTATATAAATTAAAAAGGACTAAGTTGAAGAGAATAAAATTTTTAGTGCATGAAGCCAATGTCTTTATATGAGGACACAGGGTCTCAGGAGGTTGAACTGTTACAGAGGAAACTAAAAAGTCCTAAATCATAAGAATGCGTTGCTGCTGAAACATTTTATTTTGTAAGGTTTAGTAGATTTGTAGTTGTGCTAAATCTCCGGCAATATTGTGATGTTGCTTGTTCCATATCATATGTGGCCATTTACATAAAATGAATGATTCTCTTGTTGAGATGCAACAACTTTATTTTTCCTTCTTTCTCAATTTCCCAAACAGTCCCGCGTAATTTTTCAGCAGGAAGGGGAAAGAAGCTTTCACTCCTTCTACCAGGTAAATGTATATTTGCACCTGTGTCATTTTCATTCTTCCATTTGTTTGGTTGTTGGTGAAGGGTTCCCTGGGGAGATTGATGATACTGCCGTGGCCTTGGAGTTGTTTGCTCCTTGTTTCCAGGACTGTTTTCTCTGTTCTCACACATGATATTTGCATATGAACATTGGAATAAAATAGTTTTCACATTAGTTCACATTAGGGGGAGGGGGGGCTGGGATCCTGTTTTCCCCCAGCAAGAGCAGCCATCCAAGGCGCTCATCTACTGTACAGTTACAGGTGGGAGGGAGATCTTGGGAGAAGCAAAGAGCACATTGACTCCTCCAGCTGAGGTCCTCGCCAGGCTGAAGTCCGCCAATCCGAAGGCGGGGGGGTAGGTTGGGTTTTCACATCATCTGTGTTTTCCACCTCCAGCTGCTCAGTGGAGCTCCAGATTCCCTCTTACACTCTCTTCACATCAAAAAAGACCCAAAGGCCTACACCTACATCAAAATCGGAGGGCAGATTAAGGTAATCTATTTACAGAATTAAAGTGTTTCTCACCACAGTTCTGGAAACACGTCACACATAGTGTTGCTGCACACTGCGTTCAGTCCTTTTTAAAGATGTTTTAATTCAGATCTCAGCTGTTTTTGCAAGCGTTTAATGAGTAGGAAGGAAAGCAAAGCAACAAAATCACTTGACAACAACAAAGTACCTTACGTCATGGAACACAGTACAGGCAAACAGCTGAGGCACTGGTTTTCTGCTCCGTGTGTCCAGGCAACTCATGTTTTTACAGTCAGACATTACCGTTCAGCACCAGCCTGTAGTTTAATTAGCTGCTGAAACTTAATATCCTGCCTGCAATAACTAAAAGAGAAAGGAGTGAAAACCCAGCTGGAAGATATTTAATATTAACATGTATCATCCCTCATGTTCCTGTTTTGATCAAATATGTTATAATGTGGCTGTAATTAGATTTATACTTATGTTGTTTATTTACTTAAAAAGCACTTTTCCCTTTCTCTTTTCAGACCTCCATCAACGATAACGCAGACTTCAAAGCTGTAGCTGATGCCATGAAAGTGATTGGTTTCACAGGAGATGAGATTCAGACGGTTTATAAGATCCTGGCCACCATCCTGCATCTGGTAATACCCAAATCACTTCATGCGTCAAATGCATCCATGTCTGGAAATCCTCTGTTTATACTCGTCTTAGATGACTGCAGAGAAGATCTGACATAGCACATGTAAAATATTCACTTTTAGAGGTGCACAGTTTAAAGGATAAACAAATGGAATTTTTTCCTCTTTTTTTTCTGATTCCCAGAATCACACCAGTCTTACCGAGTTACATTTATTCTCATAACTGTAATTCTAGGATGTAGAGTTGTGTTTTTGCCTTCAGATAAATGTCAGAATTTGGCATTAAAAGAATAAAGAAGTTCTTACCTCGTTACATGCAAAATAATGGAAAAGGCACCAACTGAACACTGTAGCCTTTATTTAGCATCATTTATTTTCCGAGCTATCCTGTTTTTTTTGTTGTTTTTTTAAGTTTTAAAAAAGAATATTTCAAAAAAAGAACACTAGGTCTCCATACAAAATGGGACTCCAGGTAACATTCAGGCTAAATGTGAAAGTAGTCTTCTACCCCTGTTTTCTGCTTTAGCTGTCGATAGAAAATAGACGTTGAAACTCTTGGATTAGAAAAACTGACAGATCTGCGTCACACTAAAATTGAACATTCATGGACTCCCCTGGCTCACGACGGGGAAGGCTGTTATTGGTTTAGCAACCAGGAGAGAGCAGAGCATCTTGGCCAGAAGCTATCCATTAGCATTAGCAGCTCCACAATGCGGCAGAACTCTTCCAGGCTTGTGCTATTTGTGGAGGTAAAACATCAGTGTTGCAGATCAGAGTCAGAGGTAGGGCCAGTCAGAGGAGAGATGTCTGCATATCAAGAAAATATTAGCGATCCAGCTCCCCTCTCCTCCATCTAAAGTCTACTTCCTGAAACAAGCTTTTTTTTTTGGCCACAGAAAACAACTGATAAGACTTTCATTTATTCTAGACCACTGCAAATGTGTTGAAATATTGAGTGACTAAGAACTTTAATGTTTTCTTTTGAGAAACATGTTTATTTACTATCCTTTTGTTTAACGAAGACAAGTAATATTTCTATGTAATATCTCCCTGTAAACAGTCGTTAAAAAAGAAGTGAATGGTTCCTTGTTAAAATATGTAATGGTGGCCGATGAGTTAAGTGCCCGCCCTACAACCCTCTTTACCTGCTGGCGATGATCTGAGTGGCGCCTGTGTACAGCAGGGCAGCTGTGGCTATAATGTAGCTCATCAGCATGTGAATGTGTTTATGAATGGGTGAATGGCTGATGTGTTGTAAAGTGCCTTGGTGGGTTGTAAAGTTCCTCAGGTGGCTGTAGAACTAGAGCTATATAAATACAGACCATGGACCATTTTATTATTTAAACATTTGTTTATTAGAAGAGTTGCAGGCTAGGTGCTAACAGTAGCTTGGGCACTCTGACCTGACAGCTCCATAACTGCTGCACACAGGAAAGATTTTTCTCATTCCCCCAATCTTCATTTACAGTGGATGATTAGATTACATATGTGAAGCTGTTGGTTGTGAAGAGCAGCTGGTGCTTTTGTTGTTTCCTACAGGGAAACCTGACGTTTGGAGTGGACGGTGATGTGACCCTGATAGAGAACACAAAGCAGGTGTCTGTGATCAGGGACCTGCTTTCCACCAAAGAGGAGAACGTGGAAAAGGCTCTGCTTTACCGCACGGTGGCGACGGGTCGAGACGTCATCGAAAAGCAGCATACCACACAGGAGGCCAGTTACGGGAGAGACGCTCTTGCAAAGGTAATTTCTGGGCACAAGTTGGTTCTCATTTCTAGTCTAAAATTCCCTGGATGCCTCACTTAGTGCTCTGCATTGACTTTCATTCATTCACTAGTGAGTCATAATGTTATGACTGTAGACAGGCTGGACACTGCAGCATTGCATCCATGTAAGCAGCTGGGAGACCTACTTTGAGAGGTTGTGAAGTCTGACTGATTGAATTGCTGTCCTGATTATTACGATTTTGTCTTTAGGCGATGTATGAGCGCTTGTTCTGCTGGATCGTCGGGCGAATCAACGACATTATTGAGGTGAAAAATTACGACGCCAGAATCCATGGGAAGAATACGGTCATCGGCGTGTTGGACATCTACGGTTTTGAAATCTTCCAGAACAACAGGTGCGGATTTCAATTATCTCCATTTCTTCATGTGTATAAATGTGAGATTGAAACACTAAAAAGTTGATGTTTTAATATTGTAAAACGTTTCATGAAGTGTTTTAAATTATTTGTTTTTATTCGTTAGCTTTGAGCAGTTTTGCATCAACTACTGTAACGAGAAGCTGCAGCAGCTCTTCATCCAGCTGGTGCTGAAGCAGGAACAGGAGGAGTATCAGAGGGAAGGCATCCCCTGGAAACATGTAAGATTTCTCTTCCACCTCGTTGTTCCTAACTAAATTCAGATGTTTTAGTTTGCTTTGGAGGAAGTTAAGAAGTGAGAACATTACCAGTTTAGTTAGATCTAAATCTTTTGATTTGTTTTTTCTCTTTTTATGTTTTGAGAAAAGGTGATAAAAGGTTTGATACTATCTGCAAACACCATTATTGATATGACTACATTTTTGAATTAGAAAGACTTTTTAATAGGGTCCTGCTTATTTCTAGTAGTCATGAGGAAATGAGAATGGAGACAAATGCAACACAAAGATGTTTTATTACATTTTTAAACCTAGATCTGCATCCTTTACCCTTCTGCTCTTGTTGGTTAGGTTGTTCCAGCTGAGAATCTAACTTTACCTTCATATGTGGTTCAGATCAGAGTTTCAAACATTTTTTCCAAGTGGGTGCAAAGACTCGTAAAACTATGGATTCTTGGTCCTGGTCATCAGCTTGTTTTATGTTGAACTGATATTTAACTTGTGTTTCAGTTGGACCTTGTTGTTAGTGTGTGATGTAGTTTCCATGTTACTTGTGGTTGAGCTGAAATCCATCCACATTTATGGTTCAGTTGTTAATTTAACAAATGGTGTGGAACACTGAAAAAAGCATTTTTTAAAATCTTATTTCTGGTAAAAATCGGTCACTGAGTTTTTCATGCAGGCTTACCATGAAAATGGTCTCCTACACCTGCTGTATTAGCTTCTGATAGAAAATAGTCAATTTTTTATTTATGTGGCGTTATCATGATGGCGTTGCAATATAGTATTTTGGTGTTTTGGATTTTAGTATTTGTTGTTTTTAGCCTGTTTGTGGATGACTGTTAATTAGTGTAAATGCTGCAGTGTGAACATTACCCGTTTACATAGTATTTTTGTTGTTTTTGCTATATTATAATTTTTTATCATATAATAATATGTATCTTGCTGTGTTTTTTCTTTATAGTTTTAACATTAATACATGTCATACAGCCTTTGATTGTAATTGGTTGTTTTTACGTTATCACTGTAATAACGTTCATTAATACACACTGTCCGTCTTAAGCTAATAAATAAACGCAATGAAAAAAAAATCATGGAGTCCAACTAAACTCAGAAAAGCTGTTTCCACAAGTTAAATTCTCATTTACCTTTTTTAGCACTTTAAAATATCTCTTATGACCTTGTTATCTGTTTAATCCCCTGTTTTTTTTCTAGATTGATTACTTCAACAATCAGATCATTGTTGACTTGGTGGAGCAGCAGCATAAAGGGATCTTCTCTATCCTGGATGAAGCCTGTATGAATGTGGGCAAAGTCACTGACGAGGTTTTCCTCCAAGGACTCGACGTCAAGCTGGCCAAGCACGCTCACTTTTCCAGCCGCAAGGTACAGAGAATAAAAAACACATTTGACCCAATCGGTGGTATGTTTCTATTGCAGGTGGTAAAAATAAAAGGGGGGGGGGGGGGGGGGGGGGGTAGAAATTATTTGATAGATTTGCACAATACTAGAATCTAATCCTGTTATTGTAACCTGAGAACAGCAGGAGCGGGTTTTCTGTGCATTAAGCAGCACTTAGTGCTGGAAGTAGAGACTCAATTTGATTCTGTCAGATACGATAATCAGGTAGGCTTACAGTCTAATTCACTCTAGTGGTCTGTTCAGACTGTTTAAGCCAATTAAATCAGTTGACATTAGTGTCTAGAGCGCACACAGCTTAGATGGGGTCAGAGTCGCTCATCTTCACCGATCTGGGTTCAGGTCTGTTTGGTTTTTCCTACATTAGAAAAGTTGTTAAATAGATCTCAGGCTACAGCTGTTTTTGTCTGAAAGACTGCAGTTTACTTCTCTGAACACAAGAGGGTGTTGTGTGTTTGTAAATGTGTGTTTGGGAGTCTGACTCAACACTTTGCTAAGTGATGTCACTGGCAGCCTATAGGAACCTGTGGAGGGAATCGGAGGATACAGGTTATATATTTATGAGGAGAATCATGCAGAGAGAGGAAAAACTTGGGGCAGAAAACGAGGAAGGGACTTGGCGATGCTTTGAAAACAACCTTTGACAGGTTGCAGGGATTTTTGAGAATCTGTGGGTCACAGTTTAAAAAAGCAACAGGCCTCAGAGTGACACAGCGTGTCTCCACGATCCCATATGATCCAAATGGTCACATAGTGGGCAGTTATCCCTCCACACGTTTAGTTCAGAGTGAAAAAGATGCTTATTGGTGGGGAAATGGTGAACACCGTTGCTGCAGGGTGTGAAGCTTGCTTTCCTCCTTTCATCTAGGAATAGATATTCTCTCTGCTATCACTCTTCTGCTGCTCTCTGACCTGCTCTTCCTGCCTCCGACTTTCACTTTCAAACACATCAAGGCCTTCAGGATACAGTAATCCTGTTGTTGCTTCCTGGAACTGATATCAGCATGAGTCAATATTGGCAAGGAACCTGTTTCTTTCATCTGCCGTCTGTAGTTTTTTCTTTATTTTATCATGGAGTTGCCTGATTTGTTCATAGTTTGTGTTTTCGGTTTCTTTAATGAAATATGGCGTTTGTTCTGTCACCTTTCAAGGTGAATCTATTTCATCCCTAACAACATTTCATTTTTAGGAGACATTTTCAAAAACAAGTGATTTAGGAATGCAGTAATCATGTGTGGTAGTAACCCTTTTTCTTGTTTTGTGCCCTTTTAAAGATGCTAATAAACACTATTGACTATTAATTTTTGCAGCTTGTACATATTATTTAAAACTATGCTTCTAAAACCACAAACATTAATAATTAGTTAAGTGATGTGTTTTATCTGGCGTATACATTGAGGTTAAGATGTAATCAATAGTTTTCTGTGGACTAATGCAAAAGGAAAAATTATTCATTCATTTGTTCCAGCGCTGCCACCTACTGGTCAGAAGAATTTTCTTAAAAATCTAATCTTTAAGAGACAAGGTGTAGTCCGTCCGTCCATCCATCCATCTATTTTCATCCGCTTATCTGGAGTCGGGTTGCAGGGGCAGTAGCCTAAGTCGAGAGGCCCAGATTTCTGTCTCCCCAGTCACTTGGGCCCGCTCCTCCGGGGGAATCCCAAGGCATTTCCTGGCCAGGTGAGAGACATAGTCCCTCCAACATATCCTGGGTCTACCTTTAGGCCTCCTCCCAGTTGGACGTGCCCAGAAAACCTCACCAGGGAGGCGTCCAGGAGGCATCCTGATCAGATGCCCGAGCCACCTCGACTGGCTCCTCTCGATGTGGAGGAGCAGCGGGTCTACACCGAGCCCCTCCCCAATGACAGAGCTTCTCACCCTATCTCTAAGGGAGAGCCCAGCCACTCTTCGGAGAAAACTCATTTCGGCCGCTTGTATCCGCAATCTCGTTCTTTCGGTCACTACCCAAAGCTCATGACCATAGGTGAGGGTAGGAACGTAGATCGACCGGTAAATCGAGAGCATCGCCTTCTGACTCAGCTCTCTTTTCACCACGACAGACCGGTACAATGCCCGCATCACTGCAGATGCAGCACCAATCCGTCTATCGATCTCACGCTCCAGTCTTCCCTCACTCGTGAACAAGACCCCGAGATACTTAAACTCCTCTACTTGGGGCAGGATCTCATCCCTGGCCCGGAGAATGCATTCTACACTTTTCTGAATCAAGACCATTGTCTCAGATTTAGAGGAGCTGATTCTCATCCCAGCTGCTTCACACTCGGCTGCGAACTGCTCCAGCGAAAGCTGAAGATCACGTTTTGATGAAGCCACATCATCTGCAAAAAGCAGAGACCTGATTCTCAGGCCACCAAAACAGATGCCCTCCACACCTTGGCTGCGCCTAGAAATCCTGTCCATGAAGGTTATGAACTGAATTGGTGACAAAGGGCAGCCTTGGCGGAGTCCAACTCTCACTGGAAACGAGCTAGACTTACTGCCGGCAATGCGGACCAAGCTCTGACACCGGTCATACAGGGACCTAACAGCCCGTATCAGAGGGCCTGGTACCCCATACTCCCGGAGTACCCCCACAGGGCCCCCCAAGGGACGCGGTCAAACGCCTTCTCCAAATCCACAAAACACATGTAGACTGGTTGGGCAAATTCCCACGGACCCTCCAGGATCCCCCTAAGGGTATAGAGCTGGTCCAGTGTTCCACGGCCAGGACGAAAACCACATTGCTCCTCCAGAATCTGAGGTTCAACAATACGACGGACCCTCCTCTCCAGAACCCCTGAATAGACCTTACCAGGAAGGCTCAGGAGTGTGATCCCCCTGTAGTTGGAACACACCCTGCAGTCCCCATTTTTAAACAAGGGAACCACCACCCCGGTCTGCCAGTCCAGTGGGACTGCCCCCGATGTCCACAGAATATTGCAGGGCCGCGTCAGCCAACACAGCCCCACAACATCCAGAGCCTTAAGGAACTCCGGGCGGATCTCATCCATCCCTGGAGCCTTGCCCTTGAGGCTAACAACAAATATTAATCAGTCGATCTTGGGTGGCATGGAGGCAGCACAATAAATCATAAAGGGAAGTGAACAAGGAGCGGTCAGTAGAGTGGAGGACGGGTGCAGGGATGGTGCTAGTCTAGAAGAGACTCTCTGAAGAGCTGGGTCTAATCTCTTGGTGTAGCAGCATTAGAGCCAGGGACCTGATAAAAGGCTGGTTCTTTTCTGGGGACAACTGTGGAAACACAGGAGAGGATGGTGCAAAGAAGGATTCTTCCTAAAAGCAAATATGGACAACCCTGAGCATCCTGAAACAACAAAGCATCTTCAGTACAGACTGCTACAGGAGGTCCTTCTTACCACCAGCAATCAGCATCTTTAACGATTCTTTGCAGATTATCACCCGAGATCGTAATTATTATTACTTTAATTCATTTTTGAAGAAGGAGTTAAAGCAACATGGTTTCCCTCTGGGATTATTAAAGTATTTTGAATTTAAATGAATTAAGCAAAACCTAAAATATACCTAATGATCTCAATTCTGCACACAATGGGTTAGTGCTATTGTCATATTTGTTAAGCCAGGTTCCACTGGAGACACAGAAATGGCCCCATCTCATAAACACCAAAGCCACATTTGTCTGGGTTAGATTTTTCCTAAACAAAAAAAATGAAGATTTGGATTTAAATGTAAATAATTGCTTCACTTTGGTTTAGGTTTTTATGTTTCTTTATCTTAAGGAGCCCTGACTTTAACTCACAGACAAGGAAGGTAAAGAAAAGCTCTCACTAGATTTTAATATGACCTGAAGTGGATATCCAACACTTGGGATGAATATTAGCTTTTTAAAAGTTAACAACTTCTCAAGGCTTTGAGGACAGAGAGTCGACATGAGCTCAGTAAACTTTAAAACCTCACTGCAGCTCATCAGTCTGCATAGTTCACATCTCATGTCTGTTTGCTAAGATAAAGGTGCGAAGGTTGGAAAAAAACCTGTGAGAATGAGAGAGGAGTGATGTGAAGCGAGAGACTGAGAATGAAATGTTAGGTGAGATATGCACTTTGAAAGTCTCCAGAAAAAGGAGTTTGTCTTATTTTACGATCCACTGTTTCCTTCTCAACATCAAAAACTTGACAAAGAAACAGAAAGTTAGTCATTTAAGGATGCAGGTGATGGTGATGGTTATTGTACTAATTAGGATTAGGATTAAAAATTAAGCAGGGTAGGCAGTTCAGGATGGAATCAAGAAGCTAGTTCACTTCTCATCTGTTACCATGGTGACTTATCCCTTTCTGTCTCATGTTCAAACAAGTGAGTGGCAGAAAAACAATGTCAGAAAGTGTGATGTCTGACATAAATCTGTGAGAAATGGATCTGGTTTTACAAATATCTGCCTCACAAAGAGATGTCAGCAGGAGCCGATTATGATGAAGGCAGCTTCCAGAAAATTTAAGGTGCTTCATTTAAAAAAGACTTGAACACAATGTGGTGCAGAAGACTGTGAGTGAGCCGAGTTGGTCTTGCATGTCTACTGTGACGTTCTCACCCTGCTTCCTGTCCTGTGTGATGCTACTTTGTGTTTTGTGCTGAGAATCACAGCTCACTGCGTGACACACAAATACTCACACTATGTCCAGGCTGTTCTTCCTGTTGGTTCATTCATTCACTCAAAATTCAGCATATGGACAGTAAATACACACCACATATGTAGTCTCACAGAGCTGTCAGGAGTCTGCTGAAGGCATGATCAGATTGCATGTTGCTATAGACGGGAAGGGACGTAGTCAGAGAGGAAGTATGGATCCATAACAGATGTACGGTTCTGTGGCTTCTGAACTGGTATTTACGGTCTGCTGATTCTGATCATCTTTATTTAATTTCCAGCTTCTTTCTTAGTTTGTTTCTCATGAGGTAGTGATTGATGCAGGTTTGTTAACAGAAGAAACCTCAC